CAATAAATAACTCATTGTTTTGAAAAATCTAAGCATCAGCTATCAAAACTTGTCAGATAGTAAGTGCATAAGAATAGGGTTTTTCATGCATGCATAATTCATGTTGCGCACTTTATCGTCTGCGTTTCTCTACTTTTTTCGCTGGTGGTCAGCCATTTTCTTTCCTATTTCCATGCAACACCCCTTGTTTTACGCGCAGAAATTTATGCACTTGGAAACGGCTATATCTTAAGCTTTAAAAAGTATTGAAACAGAAAGGATATTATTCTCAAAAATCTCTGATAGCTTCCCAATCTACTTCAGCTTTACTTTTTAAAATCTCCAGCAATACCGATAAACTCATTTTCTAAACATATTTTTGTGTTTGTGCGACTTGATGAAAAGTCAAAGATTTTGTCGGACGGTCCAAAAATATTTTTAGAGCCAGGCTAGACCCTCCTGCTCCTACCCCCGGATCGGGAAGCCTGCATATATGGTACGTAGCCATATGACGATGACTCATACAATGAAAAGCCATTTGGTTACTCACAAATGCATTTGAACTTAAAAAAAGAGACCGATTTTTACGGAACTTTTTGTAGTATATATTATAGCTGATATCAAGACCTTTTAGAATATATATTCAGAGTTCTCTGACCACTGAGATATCAGTGTTTTTCAAAAAATCGATCTTACATAAGTAAACGAGATTAAGGAGCCATTTTCAGGGCCTGTAGACCATTCCATCATTTTTTTTGACTCAACAATAGTATGGTCATCCAAAACTGTGACAAAAATCTGCATATTAACCGAGTACTTTAACAACTCAAAGAATTTTAATGCTGTTGCCATGACAAACAGTTTTGTGAAAAACACTGATATCTCAGTAACGGCTTGTGGTCAGAGAACTCTGAATATATATTCTAAAAGGTCTTGATATCACCTATAATATATACCAGAAAAAGTTTCGTAAAAATCGGTTTTTTTTTTTAGTTGCATTGGCAGTTGATTGGCTGTGCTTGCGTTGGTTCATGTCAAGAGACCACGTACGAATAGCTAATTTTTGTTGAAAGTACACTATTTTGCGCTTCAGAGCAAATACAGAGCACAAAGATGTCGCACTTTAAAAAACAAACATTTTTGTTTAAATTGATAAACAAATAAATATTAATAGATTATCTCACGCCTATATATAAACGAGGTATCGATTGTGCTTTAAATTCACGGTCATCGCATGGAAAAGTGAGAAGAGGTCGACTATTTTAATAAGCTTACATCTGTAAATCTGTTATCTGTTGGAGTTCTCTTAGTCATGTGTGAAGAAAACATCCATTTAGAGTTTCAATGAACAGTGAAAAGACATGTTATGTGATCTGATTAACATTACACAAGGCTTCTGGTTTGAAAAGAATAAATAGTAAATTTCACTCAAATTTCAATTATTTTCAACGCAATATTTTGTTGAAACAGTTCTATGACAAGTGGAGGATCGACAGAGCCGGAACCAGCGAACAGCTTGAAGATGATATACAACCTTCACATGAAAGTGAGTCTAACGTACATGGAGTAAAGAGAGGCGCAAGTGAAGAGTATTTACTACAGAAATTTGACCCACAAGAATTGTTTTTCATCAACAACAACAAAAGGCAATAAAGGGTACCAAATCAAACGAAATTGTAGACCCTAAAAAAAGTTTAGCAGGACACCAATAGTAGCAGTATATTTTTATTTACATAACAGTAACGTAATGACAGAGCCAAAATACACAGGAAAAACTTTCTACCATTCATCATATAATCAGTAATAGTAATGAGGAAATAGTTCATACTCGCACGTTTCCTCGATCGCGTCCAGCAATCACAACCCTATTATTTTCCGAATTTTAAGTTTCTACCGTTTATAATTCTTTTCGAAAACGATCAAAATTTGAGTGAAATAAAAATACTAAATGAACTCGTCAAATTTTATTCTAAACTGAATGTTTCGTTCGTTCGCTATTCGAAATTCGTTTAACAGCATTTGCTTTATTATATTCAAAGAAGTACAGTTGATGGAGAAATGGCCGCAATCTATGCACTCGGCTACGAGATCCAAAACGACAAATCTACGTACACAACGTTTGATATTCAATGCGTATATTTTGCCATACTTACAAACAAATCTATGTTGTTTGACCGCTACTATCGAAAACTGTAACAGAACAATTAAAGCAAAAATCGTCAACTTCATCCGTTAAGTCATCAATGGTGAGACCCAACGATTGTCGAAATAGCATTCACTGATAAATTTAAAACAGTACACATGTGAACAAAACGGTTTTTATCGATGTTCATGTCAAGAGCACTGACACTACTACGAGAATTCTTCAAAGTATACTCAACAGAAAGGAACTAAAATTTATTTTTTAATGCATCGAGAGCATCATTTCATTCAAGATTTACCCGAGAATCGGCCATCACTATACGTTGCATGCTGGCAACAAACTAATACGAGCTAGTTCGATGCAGTTCTACATTTCAACAGCGAATGATCTTTGCTAAATGATTTTTATTGGTAAATTGTATTTCTTCTTGAAAATTTTTACAACTTACGTCAGCATAACCAGGGACATTAATGGCCTGGCTAGTGAAATAAAGCAATAATAATAAATAAATAGTTAATGTGAAGAAAAAAAAATGTTTATTTTAAAATAAGGCGTCCTCAAACTCTGTCTGAGCTTTTATCGCCACATTATAACATCATATATGATTAACTTGAAAAAAATGTAACGCACCTATACTGTGTAAGCCGCAGTGCAATAAAAAAAAATGAAGAACAAGGTAAACATTTTTCGGACAATTCGTCGTAATTAAAACTGTCTTTAAATTATGAAGAAATAAGAGATACATCGACAGTTGGGATTTTTCTTTGTAAAACAAATCCATTTCGACCATATACTTCGAATCTGTGGAGAAAAAAAACTTTTTTTTTCTACTATTTTAATTTAAATTTCAAAAAAGAGACTCAACTTTCTATTTTAATCTTGGACATAAAAATGTAGTTAAAAAGTATCATGAATACGAATACAGCTAGAAACGTTATTCAACCTAAATAGAATAATTAGAGAAAGATTTTATTGGCGGTCGGCAAGCTAAAATATGTATGCCGGTTTTGAAGTCGGCGATGTAGCTAATATCTTTTTAAATTTATCGAAGAGATCGTATGCATGCAAAATATTTTCAAACTAAGAACTAGTATCAGTTTTATACAAATTAACAAAGAACATGCACCTTTTGTACCTTTTTTTGAATAAAAACCATTATCCATGAATGACACTTATTGTTGACATGAGCCAAACTAAGAACAATTCTGGTAAAAAAATTTTATTGTTATATTTATATACGTCAGAAAAAGAATTACTGATTTTCTAAAAAGATGTTCATTCATGCAGTCGTGTTTCATGAGCAAATGTTTTAGTTAATTAAAGATATAAATATAAAATTTGTGGTTATAAGAAAACGAGTAGTGGTAACTAGTTAATGCTATCAATTAATTTTGAACAGAAAACAAAAATCTCTTTTATTTCTTTTGCTGATCAAATAATATTTGATTTTTCATTTTTTCTTCTCATCCAAACATTTAAGAATATTTTTTATTGTTTTTCTTATTAATATCGTATATTTTTGTAAAATAACTACAAAAAGCTTCCGACATATCCATAGCAGCACAAAATAATAAGACGGATAACATAGGAGCACAAAAAATGTAAGTTTATTATGAAAATATGACTTGCATGCCCTAAAATTAGCTTTCCTATTGTTTTTTAAAATAACAAAAACTGTCTAATTTTTTTTCGGTTTAAACGGTCAAAAGAAAGCTGATTTTAATACTTTTTTTAAGTAATATTAAAATATACTACTGCATGCCTGCGAGTGTAAAAAAAAAACTAAAAAAATTCTTTTTTAATTTAATATATGGAGAATGCCGAAAAGAGAGAAAAAAAATCTGATTCTAAGAAAAGAAAAGTGTAAAATTTTCATCTCTCAACGATCATGTTTGCGTTTCATCTTAATGTTATTGAGAATTATTTCTCGGGTCGGAACAAAAAATGTGTTTCTCGATATTATATACTATATACGTTCAAAAGTAAACATATAGAAGTTGAAATGGAATTCATAAAAATGAAAAAAGAAGAAAAAAAGTCACAGAAAATGTAATTGAGTTACTTTAGAGAATGTATAAATTTTTCACCTTCTGTAATTGAGTTCAGTGACATATATAATAAGTATTATCATTATCATCAACAATAACAATAACAACAGTAGACAAAGAAGTGATTAGTTATAAGAAAAAACACTTTGAAAACAAACCCGTTTTCAAATCTGATTATATCTCTTCGTCGGTATTTTTCTTAAACTAATACATACTTCTAATAGACAAAAAAAGAAAGAAACGATTTGTAATAATAATAATAATAATAAAAAGAAACTTCTTTTGCAATAAACACAAACACATACTTCTCTTCTTTTTTTTTGGCATTTGAAGTTCTTTGTGTTTTGTTTTTTGTTAGCTATAAAATTCTCGATGTTTTCATTAGTAAAAAACATATGGAAGAAATACGAAACAAATATGGATAATGGAAACAAAAACATGTAGGTATTAAAGCTGAAATTTATCATTAATGATTAGTGTTTCGAAACAGTTCGGTTTTCATCATCTTATAGTTAAATATTGAATAGATATAAGTAAATTAGGAAGTTCTTATCGCCACATTACTACATGACGTTAAGAATTATCATCCAGGCTATTGGTGAAGTGTATCGGTGAACGAAAATGCGTATGAGAAACAATCATATTATCGTTTTGCGAGTGATGAAATAAACTGCTTAACTGATCTTTATTTCACTGAGATAGTAGTTTTAACCTTTTCTCAAATTATCAGACAAGAAATACGGGTTTACTTTTCGATTATTTCAGTAGACTCGTCCTTTAAAAAATAAACCATCTGCTATCAACGATTAGAAGTCAGTGCAATAACTCTAATGTCTGAACATATACCAATTGTCGATGGTGATGAAATTGGTGGTAGGGAAACAAATAATGAGATTAGATCAAATCTTCGTCAAATAGGACCATATCGTTCATTATCGGCAAAACGTCCAAAAGATACGAATCATCCTCGGCGTGTCTCGTTCAACGATGTACCCATCATACACGAGGTACCATCGTTCGATTTAATGCGCAATTCAAACTGTGAATCTCATCGTTCTTGGACATACACAGGCACTAATCTTACAAATACACTTTTAAACGATACTATGACGAACGTTCTTCCATCGTCATTTAATACGAAATTACATGCTAATCGTATTAGTAGTGCATATTACAATAGCACAAGTAATGTTCGAAATCGACCCGATCTAGGTTTAAATGCTACCGTACCGTTTTTTGGTGATACGAATACTCGCTTACCAGATTGGCTATCTCGACCAAAAGCTCCAAGAATCACAACTGCTGGAATCACAGATGCTGCAAATGGTACAAATGATACAAATTCTGTACCATCGAACACTACATCAAAGCTGCAAATTGAACAAACGGAAGCACCTCCACCACCAGTAACACCCATGATTGTGATAACAGCAAATGATTCGAAAGATCAAGAACATGAAATAAACTTGAAAGAAAACACATCAAATAATCACATCGACACTACTATAAATAATGATAATAAGGAATTAACGACAGCCAGTCCAGCTTTAGACATTCCACAAAAATCGATCATTCGTAACAGTATATCTTCGATGAGACATGTTCTGCCGAACTCTGTTTTGTATAATAATTCATATATATCAAGTATTTCGTCTTCATCAAACCCTTGGAAAAGTGTAGGCGACTCACTTGGTACCGCACCATCAACAACATCATTAAACGAGAATGATAATACTGTAAAACATCCTTATCGATCAGCAATAACTCCTCTTGCTTCCGACAATCATCATCCGATGTTCATGTTGCCTACACAAACGACCACCTCCGAACAGCAACCACAACAACAACAACATAATAATAATAATAATAATAATCAACGAAATTTTTCGCTCGGATATTCTAATCAGCAACAACCGTCGTATCTATTTAGAGAAAATACGCCGTCTGAATCAAGTGCGACCACATATACGTCTACATTATCAACAAATATTGAAAACCCTGTTTTATCATTAACGAGTATCCAACAGTCGAACACTCGAAATAGTCGGATCCGCTCTGCAACATTGCCATTAGCAACTCGATTTTCAAGTAATACAAATGATACTTCGTCTACAAATAACACATACAGTAATGTATCCATAACTCCACTGACGATTCAAACAAATGGTGCTAATCCATCAATAACCGTTACAAATGCGCTTCCTTTACGTAATTCTCAAACAACAACAAACACAATAGTTCCTCCTCCTTCTTCCACTCGTGTGTCGTCAGCAATTTCGAATCCATCGAGTGTTCTTAATCGTACCGTTTTACGTCCTACAACAATTGCTTTTCAGTGCAATGCATCCTATCAAACCACGCCCATTCTTAGTCAATTCCCGGCCAAGGATTCCACGCTAACGATGTCTAACATTAGCCAACAAACACCATCGTCCGTGAAGCAGATGCCTATTCAAAAGACGGCACATAATTCGCGATTCATGCAGCGGCCAAGCATTCCCATGACTTCCTCATCTTCTACAACTCCAGTTAAATATTCAACATTTGCAAATACCATAATTAATAGTAACAATGGAGAAAACATCACACATCATCTTAAAACATCATCAACCACAACAACATCAGCGGCCCTTCAACGAGCTCGTTCGGCAAATGTATTTCGTCGATCTCCTGTTGACGCATTTGGAAACGTTACAACGTCAAATAATAATACGAACATGAGTTCAATGAAACGAAATCCAAATGTTCGACAAACTTATGGTTCCTACTATATGCAGCGGGTTCTGTTACCTACAACAACGAATTAAATTTTCTGTTTTTCTTTTCGACAATTTTGTATATTTATCTGTTTCAGTAAAAATGGAAAAAAAGAATGTTTTGCGTTTAATTAGGCTAACATTTCTTTAATGTGAAAAGAGTGTACTGCTTGTGCTTTTTTGGAGAAACCAGAGCACATTTTTCGAAAAACAAATATTTTTTAAGAGTACCCCTCTCCCTTTTGGAGCTTTCAGTAGAAACATTGTCAAGTATAAACTAAAAACGACAAAGCCTTCTCTATTCCAGGTTTAATTGAAAACTCAATTGAGCATCTTTTCATCTTGGTTGCAGTTGTCTAGCTATCAAGGTTCTCGAGTTTTCTAGAAAACTTGGTTTGTGATATCGTTCCATTACGACCTCCCTCCCCCCTCACTCCATAACTTGATCCAATTGGCTTCAAAACTTTATCATAAATACTAGACAACATTGCCCAGGTGTAGATTTCTTTTCGTTCTATCTTTCCCAGTTATAGCAAAAACACTGGAAAACATCTTGAAATCCAGGTTTTTCAACCTTGAAATTCCTATAACTTGATAAAGTTTTGAAGTCGATTGAATCAAGTTATCGAAAGATGGTAATGTGACTGAATTGTTGTTGGAAAAACACACAGTAAGTAAAACACATTTTGTACATAGTCGTTTTCTTCCTGGCATTTGCGGCGACACTTACATCTCCATGAAACATCATAAGAAAAAGTTTCGATGTACCGGAAAAGAGAGAAAAGTTTATAAAACTATGAAATTGAGTTTTTTCAGGATTTGAAGGAACAACTTAAAAAATGCATACAATTTTCAGGGAAGGTTGTGCACTGCTGGGACGGTCTCACTTTGTAGCCAAGACTTTCCTCTACATTAGAATATATTCAACTCAAAATTCAAAATTTTTTCAAAATAGAGGAGGCTTACACGTAAGTGGTAAGCTAGAGATCACTTTTGAAACTACTGGTCAAAAGAAGCGTGATAATAGTGACTGTTTTTTAGATACACTAATCTTTCACAGTGTTACATTTGATTTTCAATAGAAATTGCATAATAATTTATTATCACAGATACTAACAAGTCGTGCATTTTGTATTGTATTAACACGGACTGCAAAGTTTGGATATTACACAACCGTCACACATAGTATAGGCAGGATCAAAAATCTTTGAGAATTTTTTTTCTAAAGATCTTTGTGTATGATATACGACACGCGATTAGTTTCATTAGATAGTATTAGATCATAGGCTATTTCAAATATGTTGTATTTGATTACAGGTATAGTTACACGGAAGTAATCTGTTTGATCTATTTAATCAGTCATTTACTAAAGTCATAAGAAGCCATTTAACTAAAGAATAATTTACAAAAATTCTGATTGTTCACAAGTGCTCTTATTTTGAGCATTAAACATAACTTTCGACGTATGTTGAATGAAATACTTTAATACTTTTTCACTCAATAAAGCGTCTCATGCTTTAGAGAAAAGTGTTTAGAGAACTACATGGTAAAACCCCACCTGCTTTCAAAATGACCGAGACCCTCATTTACACGCACACACACAAGAGAGGCCTAACATTATTTACAATTATTAATTAACTATTTGAGGATTGACTCTCGCTTTTTTTTCGAATTCTCAATCAGTAGATGATTTACTACTTAAAAGAAAGAGAGATGATTGTTTGCATAGTTTAACCCTTCAATCATCATGAACGACGAGGCACATTGTCAGTTACGTACTACAATTTCATTCTCTCTTTCTCTCCCTCTCAAATTCAAAATAGATATAATCAGGTGATGTTTCTTCTTCTTCGTTTTCTAAGCTTTTATTTGTTGACAAAAAGCTTAGAGGGGATCGATCTCTGACCAAATACGTGTGAATTTCAAACGCTAATTTTCTCTATGCACGTTGATGATTATGGACATCGCCATTGAGAGGTTTTATTTTATTTCATATACAATGGAATAGACACAAACAGCCACTTTGGCCACTCTTATGTGAAAAAACATTCTATTCGACATTTAATCATACTATATTTAAATAGATGGAAAACGTGATGTCATGTAAGTTTATAACAGTCAGTATAATTTTTACCGGTTGGATAGGACTTCAAGATTTCTTCATCAGTACTTTTTCTTACTAATGTGAGGTGTAAGTCGTAGGAGAGAACTTCACCAAGTGATTAATCGTGTTTTTCGAGAAATAAATCCTACTCTAGATAGCTGTTGATGTTGGTGATGAATCGGATATTCATTTTCTTCATAGGTTCTTCTTAAATAAGTCATCAGACTAGTCTTCTGACCAGAGCTGTGGTTGTTGACTAGTATCGAGATGGTTGACTATTTCAGAAGCTTGTCAACTGCAAGGAAGATATCGCCTGTCATTCGATAGCACCCTACACCGGTAACGATAGTCGCAAGGCGAGATATTCTTCCTTCTTTCTACAGAAGCTAGATATCTAGAGAACTATCATAAAAGTTAAACCGAACACGTTCTGATACTACCAGATTATAGAGCGTATCGAGTTACGTAAAAGCCTTCCGGCTTAATGGCCCTATTTCCTTAGAGTTGTAAAAATTAAATCATTAAAATAAAAGCTGAAAAAGTTCAGATTTTTCATTAAATTTAGACGTTAAAGTTATATTTCGAGTAAAGTTCGAGGAAAAAGCGATTGATCACTTGACGAAGTTGTACCGAAAAGTTTGATTATATCACACCGTCTTAACTCAAAAGACAGTCTCTAATCAACATTTGATGCAAGACATATAAATCATATCATCTGACAGGGGTTGTTAAAACGACGATATTAGATTTAGTTTTTAAACTAAAATGTTTATCATGAACGAAAGAAATAATATTTGAAAATCGAGTTCTGTGGCACGTTGTTCTCCTGGCTCCGTTTTACAAATGAGAAGTAATGAAATACGAAGCGTTTTAGAAAAGTCCATTGAGTACGCCTCTGTTTCACCCACAGTTCATCACTGATAACAGATACCTAGGAAAATCTTTAGCAGAACATAATTTTCCATGCTTTATAGTTTATCAGAGTTTAGTTTAGTTCGAGTGGATTTCAAATTTCGAACAAACTACTTTTTGACATCAGATATTTATCTACTTCTACAATGGCTTAAATTTCTCGTTTTCAATATTTGCAAATAAATTATAATGTTGATATCAACTCAAAGATGTTCATTAGACTTAAACTTAAGTTATTGAAAATATAGGTGCAGCTTTTTTTCTCACTGCTCATTTCAGATATATTATCTTTATATCAAAGATAATTTCCGTGTACATTTCATTGCACAAGATGTATTTGATCATATGACTGTTCCCATGAAACAGATATCACTCGTTTTTCATATTGGTTTAAGATAGTAATTGGGCGTTTAAGAGAAAAAAAGCAAAAAAGAGAGAGAGAGAGAGAAATACAACAATTGTTATATATTCGAAAAAAAAACAGAATAGAATTATAAAATTTTCACTTCTAGACGTGTTAAAATTCACTTTCTAATAAAATTTTGATATTAAACGAAACATTATTGTTATATCTTTTTTAGTTTATTTTTTCAATAACAGTTCAACATTAGCAATGGAAAACCTTTTTCGAATGTGCGAGTATAACGGACAAATTCGAGTTAAAAATAGAGTTCAATTTGTTCGTTGGCTCACGCAACTTGATTTAGGACACACGACGTTTTTATGGAGAACATACCGACCAATTCTAAACAGTAAGTTATTAATAATGCGATTGATTTCTCGCACATTATGAAATTACTCAAAACTTAGTTTTTAAGGTCATCTTAAGAACAGAAAAGGGCGACACAGCTTCCAATAATGACATGTTATAAGCTAGTTAATGCACAGCATTCTCTCAGCAGTACCCTCCATTGGAGACGCACGCGTTTATTATCGAATTCGGAATGAAGTGCCCAGTTTTATTAAGAAGAATAAACTGATCGGTCCTTTTCGAAGCTCATGTCGCGGATTGAGAGAAGCTGGAAAACTGCTTCTGCAGACATTGTGAAGTATGCTAACATCTATCAACACCCAAAAAGGATGCTAGCTACACACTACTCGATTCTCAGTGTTGAATTACATTTACATTTACTAAATTATGAAGGCAGAGAGGTGTTGATGTGCTTTTTGGATGTTAGTAACCTTTACTAAATACCCATCTGATTTTTATTCGATCTTAGTATATAGTCAACTCGGCAAACTCTATCTACTGGCTTTGCCCGACTTTGATTTGAGACTGTTAGTATGTTTTACAAATACTCGGTACCAATAGTTTAAAGATAAAAGACTTTTGTGATAATAAAATACTTTGATGCAAAATTTGTATCAGATTTAACTGTTTTTGTCTGCTATCTTTCTCTTCAAGGTTTTGCGTACTGGAAAGGACATGGGAAAAGTTTGTAGCACTGAAGTAATACGATTGCATAAACTCAACTTTAGGGTTACGATGAGCGTCTAACTGTTAAGGCAAAAGCTCTTGAGTTTCATTGTTTTTCTCTTTATAGTTGCTAAGTAGTAATAAATACAAACTATTTACTACTTTTTATATGCAAAATTATTATGCGTTTTCTATATGCTGTGTGTCAACTTAGTTTTATCCGAGCAATAGTACTAATGTACATGAGTTCTACTTCATGTTCTACCAAGATTAGTTAATTTTTCCAGTTCAAATGGTGTAAACTGATGCATCGTTCACCTATTCATTTGTTCAAGGTAGCTGCATGTTCTAACTTATTGAACTGCAGATCTTTCAGTCAGTAATAGGGGGACACGTAGATTTGAGACAACTGAATCTTAGATTTGAGACAACTGAATCTTAGATTTGAGACAGTTTTCAAGCTATGAACATGTTTAAAAAAACTTTTTTTATCGATTATAGAAGTTTAACAAAATAAATAAGGGGTTGTCAAAACAACAAAAAGAATCTTTTACCATTACTTTACTCTGAAAAGTACAATTTTCCGTTACCTGTTACCAGTAACGGTAAAGGAAATTCGTTACCTTTTCAGAGTAAAGTAACGGAAAATAACGGGAACGTACCACCCCTAGTCACAGTAACGAAATTATTCGTATAGTAATATACTGTAATCGACTCTCTTGCGCCTATGCAATGTTCGCACAGCATACCTGTGCTCTAATTTTGATTTCATTTTTTGTTCTTTTAACAGCACATGGTGTTCGGTACTTTTTAATAGAATTTTTTACCTTCCAGAATTTTTATAAGATTTAAAAAACCATTTGCTTTTATACACACAAACAGTTTAATATTAAAAGTTGCACATACATTTCCTTAACGATGAATGTTCATACGGCAAAAAAACCGACAATCAGTTCATCATTTTATGATAGTTATACAAATAAACCGGTAAAATGGTACGAAATTGTTGATGCCTATCGACAATATACGGAAACATATTTACCAATCCGTTTGGATAATTATCCACAAACTCTGTTGAAAAATCTTAAAGGGTTTTTCTCGAGTACAGAAAAAACCGAAGTAATTGATGATATAAATCCCGTAAATGAAATTCAACAAACGCGTAAGTAGAATCGAAACAGATTTTCAACTGAAGAGATTGTCATCGTTTGTATTCAACAGGTCCCGATGGCAACATAATCAAAGTAACTGAATATGATTTAAAAGGTGAAAAATTTGATTCACGCATATCAGATGCTGTTAGAACACATTCGTCCAAAAAACTACGTAGCAGCTCAAAAAGAGCTCGATCACGACACCAAACAATGTCACCACCAAGGTAAAATGATTTGTTATCATCAGTTTGATTTACATTTTTTGAAGTTTACTGTCGTTGACATTAATTATAAAACATTTGTTTTCTCGTTTTTTAGACGATCTTATTCTCATACAAGACAAAATTCAGTATCACCGACTTTTTCCGATTGTCCCGAATGCCTTGCAGCAGCCCGAGCAAATTCATATATTTGTAATTGTTCTGAATGTCGTAACAAACGATCCGTATATCCAAATCAAAAACCCTTTTGTGATTGTTATGAATGTCGTCAAAACAGAAAAGTTTCACAATAATGGAGAAAAAATTTGCATATATTCATAAAAACTGTCTATTCTTATTAATTGATTATAAATAAAAATATTTCTATTTTCTTTTACATTTAACTTGAGAATTATCAGAAAGACCGTTCCTCTCATTTCTAATTAATTTTTGTAAGATTAAACAAGACTAAATCATTCAATATTCAACATTTATGTACAATGAGAACATGTCATATCTTAAGGTATCGATCTGGTAACTTTATCTCTCTCATACCTAATATCAATTTAAGGATAATGGTCTCAGTTAAGCTAGTCATTTGTGAATTTTAATTATCTGTACTTAATTGTTGGTTTTCGGTTTTAATAAATCTGTTTCATTCTCGCAAATAGTCATAACATTCTTTTGATTTTTTTTCTAGTTTGTTCAAATATTAACTAATTTGGTATACTTAAAATAGACAGACACAAGTGAAATAAGATAAATGAAAATACATTAACATCCTTGACTAACGAAATATCACTAAAAAAGCTTCAAATCGACTTAAGTTTGACTTATATTGACTTCAAGTTTATCGGCTGTTCTAGAATTATACCGATCCTAATTTTAGTTTCATACCGTACTGTCTTACATACTTTTCACGGCTATTCATAAAAAGTCTCTATTTGAACAAATATTTTCTATTCATCCATGTGAAAACATTTGTAGATTTCATGACATGAACAAACGTGCAAATCTTTTTAAAAACTTTTGTTGGCTTCCGTAAAAATGTAATTTCGTATCCTTACACTGGTGCGCACGCTTGAACCTTTGAAAAAACTATGGAATTATCCGTATACGTGGATACGTCATTTTTCTGCATGAGAACGGGCGTATTCAAGCGTAAAAACCATGGACTTCTACGGCCCTTTATTTGTTTGTTTATTTTATTCTGGCATTTGATTCCAAAGATATTACATTAAAACTTTCAACAAAAACGTCAGCATGATAAAACAAGAACAAAATCATATTGCCAGGAAAGCAAAAAAACTGCTAAGAACCCATAAGACCTTTGCCACCTTTACACAACCTCAATCATATTTGCAGATGGTGGCGCAAACGAGTTTTGCAGGCTTTAATGGTAGGATAACTCATTACAGCCTCAGGCAGGGTTGTATTCCACTCGCGACCGGTTTTATAGAAAGAACTGCTGAGGATGGTCTCAGTTCCAGCAAAAAGAAACTTTGGCTTAAGTTTGATGAATAGTGTTACGATTCGATAGTCTGTTTGGGTTATGTCTGCTGATGCCTAATTTAGAAAGAGAGAAGAATTCTCTATAAATTTTGAAAAAGAGAACGAGCCAGAAATGTTTACGCCTCGAAAGCAGAGAAAAGTTTAATTTGTTCACACTTTTCCAAAGTAATGAACTTAATTTCCCTTTTTTGGGAGGAAATGATAGAATTTGTCGGTACTACAACTTTGGCTACAGAAGAGAGATGTGAAAACCGACGTTTCGACCCCAGAATTTTATTATTACTGGATCAATGAGCATTATTTCACATACGTAGTTCAAACGTGTGATGTAAACATGTATCAACACTTTTATTTACCACTTGGTAGAATATAATATATCTCGTCCAGCTCTACAACATTGACGACGGGAGAGTGATACATCTCTTTTCCCTGATTTCTGTGAAAACTTCCAAGAACTTGTCCGTTTTTCGAAAGAAATGGAAGTTTGAAGTTTATTTTTATAGGCAGACATTTTATATGTTGTAAGCTACTTCACAAATTTCAAAAGTTGTAAACATAACTTCAGTAGTTATAAATAGAGCCCTGCATTAGATAGACATGTCCATCGACGTCCACGGACATGGACAGTTTTTTTATATTTGTCCATGGACACAGATGGACATGGACAAACGAAAAAACTTTTAAATTTTTTTCAAAGCAAGGACTGGACACTAGTGATAAGATAAACGAGTCTTGAATCAAAAAAGGTCGATAAATTGTTATATCTCAAACGAAATCTTCAAGTGTTGAAGACAGTTGGGATTGAAGCTGAAGAAGCAGTGACGATGAACAGGTCGAACACAAGAATGAAGAAAGTTACTCGGCGTCTAACAAGTATTTTTTTGAACTGTATGTTCTTTCTGTAACAGGCAAACGCGTTTTCTGCTGAATATAGAAAAAGGAATGAAATTTTCATACCCAAAACTTAAATTTAAAAAATGCGAACATTCCATGGACAAAATGATGAACATGAACAGAAAAAAAAATTTCTCCATGGACATGGACGGACATGGACAAAAAAAAAGTGTCCATGCTGGCCACTAGTTATAAACCCATTTTCAATACAGCGTAGTAACACGTGAGTTATACGATTTACAACAAAAAAGAACATTTACGCATGCTCACGATGAAAACAATTCTTTCTCTATAATTTTATATGTCACCATGTGTGAGAAGTAACTTTTATTGTGTGTGTACGTATGAGTTTGTTTACTCACATGTCAGCACGCGTAAAAGCTTTGGTTCACGCCTAAATACAGTCAAACTGTTAGTTTGCACATGTGTTTACATCATGGAACTCCCAATTTTTTTCCACATGGGTAATACACGTAGGCGTCTTTTGTTTTATTCTTTATGAATCTAAAAGTATTATTCAAAAATATTGAATTTAATCTAGTGTAATTAGCGATGTGATGTGCTGTTACTTTATTCTTGTCCGCCTATAAATTCCATTGTATAAAAAATGATTTTCCGATGTATCTAATCGTCTTAGTTTCGAATGGATCGGTAATCTAGTTTCTTTTTATGTCTGTAGACATGTAGAAAAAGTAGAGAAGAAAGAAGCAGACCATGCATGTAATTTCTTATAATGTCTCAAGCGTATATAATTTTTCTTGAAGGAGAATAAAATCTTTCATCATTGTTATCGAGTGAGAGGTAGGCTTTTTAAGTTTATGTTCCTGTATTCTACTGAGTAATTTCTCTTATCTGTTTTTAAACTTGTATATTTAACTGAACGAAAAGTATGGTCATTTTTGAAAAAAATGAATCTGATGGTGAAATTAGTAGCTATCCTAGTACAGAGGAGTTACTCCCTACAGGTTCAATAATAAAAAAGAAAAACATATCCTTATTAAAAATCAAACTTAATTAGTAAGTTACAGAACAACATTTCATATTGAACATAACAACAGATTCCGTGAATTATTTTTTCCTCTAATGGTTACGATAATCGGAAAAATACATCACAGTGTATTCTAAATAAGATCGATCATCAAGGGGGATTATTTTTGACAGAATCTGCGCAATATCGTTGATCTTTACTCCATCGACCGAAAGAAATCGATATATTGTTGACATCAAACAATTTATTGCTCAAACATTTGTTTCATCGAAGAGAAAGATATATTATTTTGCCGTACAAATATTTGTACTTTGTGAATACTTATCATACCAAAGAAAGAAAGATGAAAGATTGTGTTTTCCTCTCTTTTCTGAATCGTAGAAGTGCGAACGTGTGTTTGTGTCAATGAAGAAAGAGGCAAAAAAGAACTAAGAAATAGTCCAATACATGATAATTTTTAATTAATAACACATGAAATTTAATTCTAAACAACCACAACCTATCTCATAGAACGATTCTCTTTTATACGTTTTAAACAACAACAAACTTTTATACGTTTAAACTTTTGAATGAAAAATAATTGAATCTTGCAGTTTATATCATGCGATGATCAGGATTGGAACACCATTATTGGTAAAAAGTAAGTTTAAAAAATTGTTGACTGTATTTCTACACGCTTTTTAGAAAGTTCATCACTTAAAACGTTGGAATACAAATATATTTGTATTTCAAGATGTATAGAGTATATTCTAGAGTTTTGAAATAATTTTGTTGGAGTTATGAGTTATTTCATTTTCTACGTCAATAACGGAAAATCAGATATCCACCTACTGTATATTTTTACTACATTTCTGACCTTATTCAGGGAAACAAACATACTGCCGTGCTACTCAACATGGGACATAACTTATATCTCAGTTATTTTAAGATTTCCCCAATTCATATCACACAGTGGGCAACGAGGCGGACATTACATGAAAAAATGAAAGTGTAATTTTTCATGATCTGAGTAGAGGAAAATATATTTAGCTGCACAGACCATTTTATGGCAAAACAGATTTTTATTTCAAATACTAAGGATCGCAGGAAAATATGTAGTCAGAAAATAGACCAAAAATACACTCTCATGAGAAAAATTCTTTTGTTATAAAGTCAAATGAACTTTAAAATAAAAAACGATACAGATTCTGAATCCACATTCGTCTAGTGATCCAGTGCTGAAGAAAGTTTCCAGATTGGATCCTTGAGAAAAAAAATGATTTTCCGAACTAAATGATTTTCCGTAGAACTGTCATCAGTATAGTGAGCATGCAAACGAGCGCAAAAATTCAAACTTGCACAAACTTTGTATATATGCTTGTCTGACTATCCTATATCGATTCTGGTGCCATAAATTAGTATAAATGTTCTTGGACCATATGATAGGTTTTCCAAAAGTCTTAGCTTTTTAGATAAAAACTATTATTTTTACTCTAGGAACGTTTGTATTGAAAACCAATGTGATATTCGGAATCAGCGCACGAAACTGCATCATTTGGTGTATAACACAGGATGTCTCAAGACAAAAACTTTTTGCTGAAAAATTTGCCTTGGATACTACTTGGGATCTTCGTAAACTTTCTGAATGCTTTTTTAAAAAGTTATGATAACTGTCCACATCATAAGCCAAAATTGTCCACAATTGTCCATCAGTTCTGACGAGGAAAGTACCCCAACTGATAAATCGCTTTTTCAACGAAACCGAATGGACTATAGATAGTCGACGATGCTGATTCCGAATATCACCATGAATGCTGCTGCTAGGCCTTCAAAGACCGGTCTTCTGGAAAACCAGTTTTCGAGAAACT